TTTTCGGGGGGTATTGTCCTAGAACCGTTTTTGGTACATGCTGTAACACTTTAACAACCCTATAATCCATTCCAATAAACCTCTCAGATAATATTAATACACAAAGAACATAATAAAGTTATTATGATTTTTATTAATTTTTATTGTAACAAATTTTTTATGTAAAAATGTAATTTCATTTTTGTATGTATGAATATTTTAAAAATAAAATAGTATCGTTGGATTTTTTTCTGGAAGACTTTTTTTCCTGAAGACGTTTTTTCTGGAAGACTTTTTTTCTTGAAGACTTTTTTTCTTGAAGGCATTTTTTCTGGAAGACCTTTTTGAATGAAGATATTTTTACTGAAGACATTTTTTCCTGAATGCTTTTTTTCTGGTTACCGAATTGTCCGATTGTATTCTTTGACACATTTGTCTGCAATAACGGACCATGCCTGTTTTTCTCCACTGTTAAGTTTACATCTTATTCTATTTACAAGTGTTTGGTTTAGTCTTTCATTTAGTTCATTTAGGGCAATCTACGCATGTAAAAACCACTTGAATATTCATCTTGTTTAGATACTGCTTTAGTTCTATAGAATTAATTCCGGTGTACTGGTCGGCTAAAAGTATTTTAATATTATTTTTCTTAGCAATCGGGTCAATTAACTTTATGAAATCTGCTGCGCATTGGCTTTTTGTAGTGGAGATCCAAGCATATCTACTAAAATGAGCTACCAAAATATGCATATATTTCTTTGGTGACCTATTTCCGGCAAATCCACCAACTGTGTCAATGAACATAATTTGGAATGGTTCTGTCGCTGGTCCTAGTTTTGACATTAATCCGATGCTTCTATTTCTTCTAGTTTTGTTCACTAAGCATATAGTGCAACTTTTACAAAATTCTTCAATTAGTTGATCAAAGTTTTTGAAATAATAAAATGTTCTTATTTTCTCTTTCAATGTTCCAGCTCCGATATGTCCATAATATTCATGTACCTTTTTTATTATTCTTAAACCAAATTTATCAGAAACAAATATCCTTGATTTGTCCTTCAATTTTTTGTAAATAATACCATGGCGTTTTTCAATCTTTTTGGCACTCTTTAATTCAGTCATGTTACCATTTTGATCCTGAAGAATTTCAGGTCTTTCAATTAAATTTACAACTTGTACTGCAGCCTCATTTTCAAAATATTCTAATACTGGTGATCCAGAAAGTAAATCAGTCATTATATTTTCCTTTCCTTTCTTATAAATAATTTTAAAGTTGAATTGAGACTAAATCGCCCAATATTTCATCTGTTCTACTTTTAGTTTTTAGATTCTCTAGAGGTTTGTGGTCACTACAAACAACAAATTCACGACCAATTAAATAATATTGCCAGTATTTTATTGCGTCTTTGATAGCTTTGCATTCAAGATAGATGATGTCCATTTTCTTTTCTTTTTCTGATAATTTTCTTGAGAAGTATGCGACAGGATGTAACATACCATCAGAATGTAGTTCTTTCAAATTAGCTCCCATTCCTTTATAACTGGCATCAGTTTCAATATAAGCTGATAAAGGCTTTATCGTAAATGGCTAAGATTGGCTGAGAGCATAAATATTCTTTTATCAAGTTGAAAGAATCTTCACAACCTTGGGACCAATGAAACTTAATATTTTTTTTCAAAAGCTTAACATTCTTGATGGCGATTAAATTTTCTTGAGCTGGTGCTACTTTATTTTCTTGAATAAAATGTCCAAGATATTTAATGGTTTTAGCAGCGAACTTACATTTTCCTAATTTTAATTTAAAACCTTCTTCTGTGATAATTTGTAGAATTTTTTCAATATGAATAATGTGTTCTTCCCAAAAGCGTAAAAATATAAGTATGTCATCGATATAGTTAATGCAAAAATTGCTCAGAATATTTCTTCTTATGATATTGGATAGAATACGTTGAAAAATTGCTGGAGAATTTTTAAGACCAAAGGGTAAAACCTTAAACATGAATTTTCCATACTTAGTGATAAATGAAGTTTTTTCTCTATCTTCCTTTTTTAATAATGTACACCAAAATGCAGAATTTATATCAAGTACAGTGAAATATTTACAATTTGGTCTTCATCTATGACATCATTAATAGTAGGGAATAGATAGCATTCAGGAACTACTAATTTATTTAATCGTCTGAAATCAATTCAAGTCTTGTCCGACGACCATCATCTTTTTTAAAATCAAGAGTTACTGGCGAGGCATAAGGGGATTCCGATTCTACAATTAAATCAGCTTCTAATAACTTTTTGACTTGGGTCTTGATTTCCTCTTCATCAACTATGGAACATTTATATGGTCTTGCTGTTACATATTCATCTCTGGTTAATTTTATTTCTGCTTCTTTAGACTTCACTTTTCCTACATCATATTTATCTTTTGCAAACATATGTTTTTACTTGTTTATTAAATTTAAAATATCTTTTCTTCTATTTTCATCTTCAATGTGGTCTAAATTTTCACAAATTGTATTATTCATATTTTCGTTAAAATTGACTTTTGAAATTTTAATTAAATTATTTTTTTCTGCCTTTTGTAGATTAAATTGGTTATCAGTCAGTTCATCTGATTTAACCTTGTTGTGATTGTTATTCATCTTTACTCTTTCTTCTATTTTGATGATCTTATTTTTATTAATTCTTTGTAGAATGTTAAAATTTTCTTCTTGAATTAGTTTGAACTTTTTTATTGCATCTAGACCCAGTAATAGGTCATAGAAAAAATTGTTATTTTTGATTACGTATGTATTTAAATTTTCCGTTAAATTACCTACCTTAACAACTATATTTGCCCGGGCCGAACTAAAATTTAACCCACTGATGGTATTGAAAGTACTTCTATTATTCATTAAGCCTAATTTTAAAATACCTATAATTTTCCTATTTATTAGACTTATATTTGATCCACTATCATAAACCGCTTTAACTTTTAATTTATTATCGATTATTACGTTTACTCTTATCAGTGCATTCAATGTTCCCTGGCTTTCTAGTTTAAAGATTTCTTGTCAATTTCAATTTTCATCATATGTGCTTCGTCATCTGTTTGGTATTTAGTATCATGAATATTAATTTCTCTTTTTGATGAGTAAAGAGTCTTATTTCTACATTCATTTGTTGGATGGTATCGATTTTTCCAGCCCAATTCTTCACACATAAAACATGGTTTATTTGCTGTGGTATTAATATTCTGATAAAATTTGGTCTAACAAAATTTTCTTTATTTAGAGTGTTATTTTCATATCTTTGATTTTGTTTATTTAGAGTATTATTTGTCTTTGCTTCTACTTTGTATTTTGGTACCAAAATTTCTTTGTCTACATTTTCATATCTCTGTTTGTGTTGATAAAGTTGCTTTGTCTTTACACCCGTATTGTATGGTATTTCATTACTGTAAAATTTATTGTCATATTTTGGCTTGATGTTAGAAACGCATTCATCAATTTTTGTTAGTTCTTTGAACAGTTTCTCAATGGTTGTTATTTCTTCTCTATCAAGCTGGTTTTGTATTTCTACAGGAAGGCCCATAACGATCATGTTTATTCTCGACATTTCAATTTCTAAACATAGGTTTTCCTTCGCTAAGGTATAGTCTATTAAAGAACCAACTAAATATTTGTAATTATATGCGGTTCTTCTTTCTCCATTCTGACCAATTAGTTAAGCCGATCTTTTTTAAATTTGATTCGTACCAATCTTTCGGTGACCCAGATAAAAAGAAGCGTAATGCTTCTATGACATTAGTAGGATTTAGTATTTTATGCCTTCTACATTCATTTTCAAATTTCTCTTATCCATTCAGTAGGGTTTTGCTTTTTGTAGAATTTTTCCAGAATAATTTTTTTTTCAACGTCTTGCAGCTTAAAGTTATCATTCAGACTTAGCTTAGCTTCTAATTCCTTAATTCGTTCATTTCAAAAATTGTCATTTGATTCATCTCTATGTTTATTATCAATAATTTTTTCTTCTTATCTAAAAAACATAGATTTTCGTCTTCGTCGTAATATTCTTTTCTCAATTCATCATCGAGTTTGATGCAAATTGTGCGATAACCGTTGATAGGTTTGATAGAATTAATTAGATTGATTATTGCTCGCTTCGTAGATAGAGCTTTGTGCAAACTTAAATCTTTCTTCTCTTCAGGTAAGACATACCATGTTTCTTTATTTTCCGATATGCCCGCTAATTCAAATTCGTCATTATTTCTTTTAATAATATGAAAATACAACTTACTTGTTTTTGAAGCCATCTTCTTTTTGGAATTTAATTTATAAGTTTGCTTTCGAATTACCTGATTTATTAATCTAAGTAGAAAAATTAAATTCCAGGATCGTTTACAAAGCCAACAATAATAAAATATAACCACGTGCTATTTGCATTTATATATAAGATAATACCAAAGTAACGAAACATAATTTACAAGCACAGAATAGAAATATATAGATAATTATATAAAATATAATTTACATGTATTACTTAAACTCACAAAAAAATGATGGTGCCCACGCCGAAACAACGTTGTAAGCCTGATCTTGACTCATTTACTGAATAAATATGAATTGAACAAATCACGAGTTGTTGAATTTATATATATATATTGTCTTGTTTGGACTAAAGATAAGAACTGACATTGTTTTACCAATTATAGTTTTAAATGATTGTACAGTTAAGAGTTCATTCTGTTAAGTTTTTGGGTACTAATATTCCATCCAACTTATCTTGGTTATCTCACATAAAGCTTGTTTCATGTAAATTATCAAAAAATTTAGGTTTAATTTATCGCTTAAGGTTTAAATTTCCAAGGTTCACTATGTTAACATTACATAACTCTCTTATTTTACATTATTTGACTTACCGCATTTCTATTTCTATCAGCTCCTAAATGTAATCTTCATTTATTGACAGTAGCTCAGAACTTTTTCATTCGTATTTATTTTAATTTACATAAATTTGATCATATTACTCCATATTTTCATTTAGCTAATATTCGTATCATTAATCAGTTATATACTTCTTTTATTTAAAATATATAAATTAAATTTCTGTCAATCGCTCTATAATGAATTTGCTGCTTTTAAGAATACGAAACGTGAAATCTTACGTCATAATCCTGATTTCTACTTCTTTGAGCCTAGATCTAATTTTTTCCTTAACTCAGCGTTATCTTCATCAATGCGTCTTCTATTTATTTTTATTATATACAGAAGAAACTTTTTTTGGTAGTCTTTTACCATTTTCAATATATTATGGTGCAAGCTGTTTTTCTGTAATTCTATACCATTTTCAATGTATTATGTTACAACCAATATTTAAAAATGATAAAGCTTTACAGAAAAAAAGCTTTTTCTGTATTATAGAATAAAAATTATTAAAAAAGTAGTTAAAAATATTGTTTTCTATACAAAGAAATTGAAATGTTTTGATAACAATACCGTACAAAATGTTTTAAAACAAAAACAGAAACTAATCAAAATGTTTCTTAAAAATGATATATATATAAATATATATATATATATATGTAAAATATTTTATTTTTATAATTTCAAAATGTGTTTTTCGCGATTGAAACCTCAGAATCCTCAAAGTGCATGCCATGTCCCATACAGACAGCTCAATAACATATGAACTTTTATCATCAAAAAGTCAGCCAGTCAATGAGTTTGCGATTGATTCGACATCAGGTGTAGTTGAACTTATGAAGAAACTTGATTACGATCAAGACCCATTGAGCAGGCAATATCAATTAAAAGTATTGGCTATTGACAATTACAATTCACCAATCACAGGAACCGTTGACGTGAGTTGATTGGTATTATTATTTAGTCTTATTATTTTCTTACAATAGCACCTTGTGTTTAAATAACAATTTTTTGACGTCTGGCTTATGTTTTCATGCATGAACAATGTAGCAATGCTTCTGCTATTTGTTTTATATTCATTTCAAAATTATAATGATTCATCAGTACTTTTAATGTGTTACATGAAATTATATTATAAACATGCTTATTTGTTTATATGTGTAATTAATAACGTTGTTCATTAGCCTCTTAACCTTTTTACTCTATATTTTTGATAAACATTCGACAAAAGAAATTTTATTTTTTATCAATTTTATTTTATTTTAAGGCATTGGATAATTTTACTATAAATTATTGAAAAAAGAACTTTTTTAACATTGAAGTTAATTGTGAATATACTGGATGCGAATGACAATGCTCCGACATTCTACTTATCTCAGTACAGCACTCAAAGTATTCCAGAAGATGTTAAAATAGGAACAGAAATAATTAAAGGTTTTGAATGATATTTTTTTGAATTTAACTCAATTTGATTTTATTTTTATGTAGTTGAGATTGTCTTAATTTGGAAAATTTATTTAATTAGGAGTATTATATAATGTTAAAATCAAAAAATTATTCTAATACATATGTATGTACAAGTATATGGCACGATAAAAAAGCCTTTAAATTTCAACAATTAATATATTCGTTGCACAAAATAATAAACTAGTGTTTTTACGATATATATATGTATATATAAATATATATGTTGGTAAAACAAATATAACCCTATTTGTAGATATATGCTTTTTAAACAAGACTTCTACAAGACGTAATTTATCAGACTCATATTTATTTAAGTCCGTGATTTGGCTGACGGCCGTTTCGGCTAGTGCCATCGTCAGAGCCTAAAATTGCATATATAAATTATTTAATTTAAATATTGTATTGAATTATAATTTATATGAAATGTTAACAGTTTTAAATCAATACAATCAATTAAAAGTTACTGATGAATGTGGCCCAAAATAAATGACAGCATGTGGAATAACCTTTGTAAAATCAACATATTATAAATAAAATAAGTTAAATAAAATAAAGTAATTAAATAGTTACGGATAAAATAAAAATTTTTTTTTGCATATCATAGTATCATAATTTTAAAAGTGTGGTTGGTGACGTGTAACTAATGTTATAAGTAACTATGGAAAGTTTGTCAGTTGATAAATTAATTAAAATTATGGAAAGTTAAACTTATTTGTATTTTGTTGAATTATTGGATATAATTAAATTTTGAATTGTTGATATAATAGAATAAAAATAATAAATAAATAAATAAAAAAATGAAATAAAATAAAATAATATGTAAATAAAAAAAAATTATTATGTTAATAAAATTTTAAGTTTCGAATAACGGTGTTAATGAGCTAATTATTTGAGATCGGCAACGTAAAGATACAAACGGGTGATTAACACCGGTTGGTTCTAGTGTGGGATTGCTGTATTCATATTTGTGGTTGACAGAAACTTGTTTACTGTTGACGACTTTAAGTGAATGAGATAGAACGGTGTCGCGGTATTGAGTGAAGAGTTGCAGGACGTGGGCGAAGTTGTCGGACTACGTATTGATCTTTGGTTTATTTGTGAGGATAAGAAGAGCTTTTTTTATTTTCAATTTTGACGGGTTGGAGTCATGGCCGAGTGATAAATTATGTTAAGTGATAAATTACGTCTTGTTGAAGTCATATTTAAAAAGCAAATAACTGCAAATTGGGGTATTACTTTTACGAACATGTCTTTCTAAAAACCTCGTACCAAATTATATATATATATATTTTTACAATATTCTATAAATTCTACCGAATGTATGGCGTTAATATGTTTGTATTTCGTTTTTTCGATTTTTCTCACTAAAGTTTTTTGGTGAACGTTTAGTTTATTAAAATTCAAAATAAACTTATTTTTCGAATTCATGCTGCAAATAAGGCCATATTCAAAAACTGACCAACCTGATAACCAAAGGAAATAACAATATTATAAAAGATAGATTCATCAATCTTAGCCACCATATCCTTACAGACAAACAAAAAGTGTTCTTAAACCTGGGATTGAATTGCCATTATCTGAAAAAACCTAACAAAATTGAGAAAATCATTGAGATTGAAAAGCTATAAGCGACGCTGAACGTCAAAGTAAATTAAGCGTCAACCCCTCTGTTGCCATTGAGCTTCAAGCTGAAGCCAAGAAAACACGAGGTAGTATTCAAAGTAAGCTACTCACTGAGGAGATGAAGGAAGCGGCGAAGCAACTTAGGGAGAATAAAGATATCGTAATAAGACGCGCAGATAAATCTGCACAATATGTCGTTATCGACCGAGCCGATTACCATGAAAAACTCAATGATGTTCTCAATGATACAAAAAAGTTCCAAGTAATCAAAAAAGATCCCACTCCTCAACTAAAAACTAAACTAAACACAATAATTAAGAAGATAAATCGAAAAAACGAACTACAAACATATTAACGCCAAACATTCGGTAGAATTTATAGAATAATGTAAAAATTATGGTCTATTACCAACATATATATATATATATATATATATATATATATATATATATATATATATATATATATATATATATATATATATATATATATATATATATATATATAT